TAAATATTTTTACTGGCATAATAGGACCTGCTTTGTTTGACAAGTCTGAATGAAAAAAAAAAAAAGATCATTACTTACTATTTTGTTAAACAAATATTCTGCAGTTATATTTTTTTAATTTACTTTTTGAAATAAGGCGATTATAGTTGATGAAAGATTATCTTTTTAAATAAATATCATAAATGGTTGATTCATCAAGAGCATTTCGTACGATTCCGAGTGACACATGGGACCTTGAAGAGAGGTCTAAATATAGGAAATTACGTCTTCACCTCATTATATACATTGAAGGTTCGAATATGTCCAGTTTTTATCAAAAAGCGTGCTTTATTATGTCAACTTAAAGAGTTGTTATAGCATATTAATGTCGCATCATGTTAAGAATCTATAATCGTTCCAAAGATATTTTTATATTGCGCGTAATCGTTACAAGATTACGTATAGTCAAATTTACTATACTAATATTTTATAATATATAATTGTTTATGTGTTTATAATTAATAATTGAAGTAGTCTCTACTTCAATCCATTGAAGGATCAAGTGGATAAAAGTGGTAAGTAACATTGCTTGAGTTCTGACAAAACTGAATTTAAATTTGTTAGACATTTATCATCAATGGACACATCTATTAACTCGGATATAAGCCAAATATTTAATACATATAAACGAGAGGAGGAAATACTGAAAATATATCGCTTTGGGCCTTTATTCTCAGCAATAATTCAATTTTTTTATCATGCCACTAATCATATTTATCCAGTTGACTCTTGATTTGTAACTTATTGACGGTTGGAACGTTAGCTGTAGGTTGCAGTCTATTTTGTTGGCTACAAGAACTGAACTTATAAACTGAATTTATCTACAATTATTTTATAAATACATATATTTATATAAAATATATATATTTTATGTGTATGTGGGATACTCAGCACGAAATGTAAAATAAGTAAATATTAACATGACTAATTTATATTTAGTTGTGTACATAATAACTGGAAATTTTTTATATTATTTATTTACTTTTAGGGAATAACCCAATACAAGTGGAATCTATCACAAAATAACGAAAATTATTATCCCTATGGAAATAAAAATTAATTCCTTATATACTACATTACAGATGTTAATAAAGCACTCTAAAGGATTGATTAAAAATCAGATTGCGAGTCTATCGAAATCTTTTATATTGTTTAAAAATATTGGAGAAGGCCTTGGTTCTCTACTGCTACATACTTTATTACTTCTGTTTTATTTTGAAGCATTTAGAACGGGTTAAGAGTAAAGAAAGGGGATTATTCAACCATGGTCTTGGTGTATTCGTTCTGGTCATTGGAGATGTAGAGTCGAGTGGACGAGACCTCTTAGTAGGCGCCTTACAGGAAATTACTTATTGATTTATTGGTGACAGAACCGCTGTCATAACAGAAGTAAGAAAGAGAAAAAAAATAGTTTACAACTGTAAACAGTAAATATCACCTATGCTATGATGTACACGTGAACTGTATTCAGAGAATAATCGTAGAGATTCCACTTGGGAACACAATCTTTCATATCAGCTCATTTTTTGTAGTAAAGTTGATAATGATACTCTTATAAGATCCATCTGACAATACTGATCATAAGCTGACAACCTACTCCTCTTAAAATTGCTTATCACGAAAACTCCTAAAAGTCTCAACCGACTAGGGTTATTTCGGGCGCTCCTTAATATTATTGAACGATCACTACATCGGCATAGCAGCGATCCAAGTACCCTGGTTTGGAAGTGGTACAGTTGAAAAGAAATATCTTACCCTGTACTACAGATGCCAGAAAACTTACCAGACCTTCGGTACTGGATGTATTGTTAAAGGAAGAGCTCAGCAACTGGTCTTAATATTTACACCCATCTCTCACAGTATATACTATTTCTGTCTCAACGGGAAATTATTTGACACATTTTTTATCAATTGGCATACACCTATTGAAGTATTTTCAGGGGAAGATAAAGATGGCTTCTACGAAGATTTCGTGATAGCTTTTGCGGCTTATCCCGCTAACAAAGTTAAGATAGTTATGGGATATTAAAACGCACAAGTAGGTCAGGAATATGTGCACCGGCAGACTACAGGAGCTTTCAGCCTACACGAGTTTACTAACGACAGTGGTCAAAGGCTGATTGACTGCGAATTCTCAAGGCCTAGTTGTAGGAAGTACCTAGTTCCCAGGCAAGAGAATACACAAAGTTATGTGAAGATCACCAAATCTAATCAGCCCGCAACACAAGAAGGGAGATCAGCTGGAATGCTGTAACTACAGGGGTATTGTTCTGTTTATAAAGTACTCTCAAATATCCTGTTCGAGATATGGGTTCCTATCGGATAGAGGGATCGGGAAGTATCAGGCTGGATTTAAAAGGAGATGATCCACTATGGAGCAACTGTTTACATTGGGATTGATGTTAAGAAAATGCAAAGAGTGTAAGTCGATTTCAAATCCGCGTATGACAGCGTTGGTCGACCGGAACTTTACCAGGCCCTAAAAGAAATTAACGTACCGATGAAATTAGTGAGACTGGTTGAGTTGACAATGTTGAGCTCAAAGTGTATAGTAGGTGTGAAAGTAAATCATTCTGACCCCTTTCCCAAAAATCATTGTTTTAGGCAGGGAGGCGCTTTGGTCAGCCTCCTTTTTAGTTTTGCAGAGGCGAAAGCGGTAAGCAATTCTGGAATCCGACTCCGATTAACACTGTTTACTAGCAAAGTATAGCTTCTGGAAAATGCGGGTGATTTTGATCCAATGCTGCCAGATCGGAACGGGTCCTACGAGAATCATTTCTGGCTCTAGTCCATCATTCTTAAGTCTGCCCCCAAGATGAAGTGATCTCCTAAGAAGTCGAGGAGAGAACTGAATTGGGAATTGGATATGGGTCGATTAGGAGGGCAATATGCTAATACAAGGGTAACCGGAGATGAGAAAGTTTTGATTACGACAGCAGTGAATTGTAGGAAGTCTTGTGAAGGTAATGGGAGTAGTTGATGGGGGAGGGATTGTTTTACAATTACAGCAGTACTGGCATGTGCTCTTCCGCCAGAGTGGTCACTACGATATGTCAAATATTGTGATATTTTGAAGAGCTGTTTAGTGGTTAGTCGAGTTTCAGTAATTAGTGCTATATCAGTGTTCCTGTCAAGTAATAAAGCCGATAGTTCGTCTGTTTGATTTCTAATACCATTCGCATTCGAAAAGAAAATTCTAAGTTCCCTTAGAATAACTACAATGTACAATTTAAAGAGAATTCCCTGGCATTGGAATTAAATTAGATTACAAAATTGTCTAGATCTAAGGTTACAATAAAGAAAATTCACTTGAGATGCGAGTTCACATATTTTTACACATAAACAATGTGGGGGATGTATATTATAAATGTGAACATTATTTTACACATATTCGGAAGATTGATTTTGAGGAGATGGATAAATAAACTATGTTTAAATGAGGTCAAGGATGATATTTGCGTATGGAGGTTGGTAGAGAATTAAAAAAAAAAAAAAACATGGTAGCACACAAGGATTTTTTGGACACAAGGAATGGAAACAATTCTATGAGGAGAAATAAACAGGTTTGAGGGCTGGAATCTCGTGTTGAACTAATGGACATAGGAAGAAGGAGTAAACAAATCGAGAAAGTAATAGGGTTTTTTGGTTGAAAAGGTTCGAAAAAGGAATACACCTAGGAAGTATTACCGTCGGAAGACTGAATAATGCCACTTCAACTCGGCATACCAACTTCAGACGTGGGAGCACCTGGGGACTCCATAAATGAATCTAATGAAACAACTCATTAGTCTCTTTAATCTGATCTCAAGCCCACCCGACACAGTCCATCATATACAAACCAGCCGTAATCGAAATTAGGGAAAATTTGTGAGGAAATTAGGAGCTGGCGTATTTTAAGAAGCATGGAATCACGGGATCATAGGAACTGTTTGAGGGTAGGAATGGATTTTCGGATTATTTGAGAAATATGATTGTTGCTGTACAGATTATGATTAAACATTACCCCAAGGTTTCTAACGGAAGTGTGGAAACGAATAGGTAGGCCAATGAGGCAGAATAGGATAATAAGACGTGGAATTAATTGGATGCTTGGAAGAACCAATGAGAATGGCTTTGGTCTTCTCAACATTCAACTTTAAATCGTTCCTCACAGTATTGATACTATCGATGCCTTCTTGAAGCCTTTGGATTGCACAAGCATCTTGGTAGGATGAAAGGAAAGGTAGGTTTGGATATTATCATCATATAAATGATATTGTGAATGATGGATGGAATCAGAAAGGTTGTTGATGTAGATGGAGAAAAGAGTTGGGGAGAGCGAAGATCTCTGAGGAACACCGCTGGTTAGTGAGAGCGGGCGGGAAGGAGTTTCATTAGGTATGGTGGATGTTTTGGATATTTAATACAAAAAGGAATGGAACCACTTTAGAGTACTATTTGATATTGAAAAGTTTTTTGAGTTTGGAAAGGAGAATGTCATGATAGACTGAATCGAATACTTTTGAGAAATCAAAGAACACCAGGATAGTGATTTTCTATTTGTCTATGGAGAAATGAAGGTCTTGTGTAATTTTCAACAAAGTAGACTGGGTGGAGAACTGGAATCGGAAACCAGAATGGAAGGGATTGAGGAGAGCTTTTTGTTCTAGGAAGGTGTTAAGCTGTGCATGGACAATTCTTTCAAGAAGTTTTGAAATGTTGGATTTTTAATTTATTTTTACTGAATGTAGGGTAGTAAATAGAATTTGTCTATTTTGCCTATTGCACCAAATGTTTATACCATATTCTTACAATTTATTAATACCATTAAGTTATTTGGATTGTCAATAGCCACATTACTTTCTTAAAGAAAAATGTAATCTTTTACACCTTTAACCTTTGTCACATAAGTAACTACTCTGTGCAATGAAGTGAACCTAATGTTACAATCAGAAAATTAGGAATTGAAAGAAGGATAATCATTAACTTAAAGGATCATATATTTTTAAAAATATATTTTATTAAAGTTAATTTACAAAGATTGTGGGACAACTTATATTTATAATAAAAAATATTTAAAAGACTATCCATTTTATTATATCTTCTTGTCATAGTATCTATCTGGGTTGCGGCTATCATAATTACTTCTGTAGTTAGATCGGTCATATTGGTTGTACCTGTCCAACCTGTTGTACCTATCATAGCCATATCTGAAAACAATAATGAATTCATTATTTTAAAATATTAACACAACAATTAATCTTATTATATAAATCAAAAGTAGTATTAACTATTTATATCATTCATTTTTTCAACGACAACTTATACATTCTGTCAGTTCATGTAATTGTTGATAAATATTTTAATTTTTATTTCATGTTGAAATTCAGTAGTTTAATTACATGATATTTGATATTTTATAATAAGTCAGTTATAAATATAATTATCTTTTTCTTCCTTGTTCAGAAGACATTGTACATAACATATTGCTCCTTATTTAATCATAATATTATAATGATAATAATCTTATATTACTTATGAAAATATAAATTGGGATGTTTTTAAATAAGTATCTTAAAAAATAATATGACATTGCAACCTTACAAAATTCTACATATGAGACTTTCAGTTGACATAATCCAATTTCAATATTTAATTATTTTTAGTGATATTTCTAATCAGAAAATTTATAACTTTATTCAAAGTTCTATATTTCAACATTTCAATCACCTACTCTGGAAACAATTTACTCATTGTCTGTGCAGATATTATAAATTATCCAGCTTGAAACATCACTAAAAAGATTTGACTCAAAAAAGTTGAAATAGGAGTTAGTCACTCTGTCAACTGAGAGGCTCATATATGTTGGCACTCATATTCAAAATAAAATTTTGATGCATTAAAAAGCTTAATTTTGATAAACAATGATGTGGGGCCATATAATGTATGTCGTAACATTCTAGTAAGAACATCATAGTAAAAAAAAAATATTGTAAGACTGTAACAAGTGACAATTAAGAATGAAAATATCAGAGGTGGGGCATAAAATTGGCTAGATGCGCCGATCCTTATAGCCCTAAGGACACTATCTGGAAGTCAAGTTCAAAGCGCTGCTCTCTTCGTCGACTCTCAAGTATCCATCCTCGCTGTTACTAGTGTGAATGAATGTCTGTCGAGTGCTTTCTTGGAGTGCCAATGCCTTCTCTATAACCTAATATAAGAAGACACCAATATGGTCTTGCAGTGGATTCTGAGCCATTGCAGGATTCCAGAAAATGCTCGTCAAGAGAAGAGCAGAGTTGCCTCAACCAGTCTATCCAAAATATTTTGATTCAATTCGGTGAATGGTGAGGAACATGGTGAAGGATGGAATAAAAAAAAATACACAGAGACAAGGTGGAAGGGAGATATTATAGACGGGAGATAGTATAGACTTGGCTGAGGATCCTAGCTGTAATCAAGGAAGAATTAATGCAGATCATCTAAGCTAATGTCCTGCTTTGACAGACATAAGAAAGAAAATATTTTTAAATGAATATATAAAACTCTAATTTATACTGGGCAGCAAGATGTCGGATGATCAAGTGAACAACGATTTTGGCTTAGGAAAAAAAAATGGCTAGATGCTGTCACCATCGCTAGATGAAGCAACCATCACCATCAAGAAAAATAATTTTATAATAATTAAAAAAGAAAAATGGAGATTTTATTTTAACTTTTAATCTTAATAGTAAAAATTTACTATCCTGTCTATCTCACTTTGTTTTGCTTTACTTATCAGCAATTTAATAGTTAAAATGAATGATTAATATGTAAACAACTTAAGGGATAAACTTAGAAAACTGAGGGAGGGAAAAGTCTGCTCCTCTTCTAAATTACTTTAGACAAACTACCATATCAGATAGAATCTATTTAATAGACCGTCTTCATTTGTTTTGTTTTAATAATTTGATTTTACATTATAATTGGTAAGCTTATTTCAATTTATTTTGTTTTGTAGATAACCTGTAGTAGTGTGTTAATCAGAAATTTAAAATTTGAATACTATCAAGAGCTCAGAAGTTTAAATGTCATTCTATAATCATTTCTTGTCGAGAATTTTATAGAATAAATTAAAAATAAATTGTGAGTTAATGCAAATAAAAGAGCAAAAAATTAAAAAACAGACATAAATTAACGGTTATAGTATAAGCGGAAGATTGCTAACATAAAGACTCGAGTCTGTAAAATACATGTAAATAAAGAGGTCATTTGTCAGGACAAAAATAACTACGGTTAACTATGGTTGAATAATGATGACCAAAGTTCATGTTACAACAACATTTCACAAACGATATATTAACAATCTCTCCAAGGATATTCAAATACATCCTTGTATCCCTAGGATCCAAATTAAATATTATCAGTTTATTGCAAATGGTCTTTAATTAATTTTAAATAAAAAATAAATTACTATGCTACTTTAATGTATTTATTCTCTGAAAAGTCATAATATTGTGTACTTAATGTTACTACTTTTGATATATATCTATAGAATTAGTGTCATCTTGATGCACATATTTTGTTCATGCATCAATAAATAAGATAGAAATATACAAAATGGTATTTAAAAGTTCTACTCGATTGAAAATGTAATTAGTGACTTTTGACAAATAAATCCACTATGTGTTAGGATGCCTTGGATTGATGTACTTTCTCTAGATGGTCCCCATTTTTTGGTCTGTTAATTTGCAATATGTGTTTCTATCCTGATTTTGCCAGAATTGTTTTATTTATATCTGCATTTAAAGATACAAGGCTTTGCATTTTAAACCTTTTAATCATATCATTAATATCATAAATGATTGTGAGGATGGCTCCTATTCTTTTCAACAGTCAATTATTAATCAGTAATAGTAACACAATTACTATACTACTAATATCCTTTGTACTATAAACACCCCCATCCTTCCAAAAAGTCATAATTTTAAAGCTTAATTTTATTAAAAATTAAGTTAAAGATTTATATATAAATTTAAAATATGAGCTTTGAATATTGTTTTTAAAAAAAGTTGAACAGTTCAGAATTGGTTAGTTTTTGATGCTATACAATATGATAAGGTAATAATAGAATTGTTATTGATTGTAAATTCATAATAATTACAAACCTCTATTAATCTTTAGGATCATTGTGAAACTCTAAGTAGCGCCTGCTCTGGGTTGCTAGCTGGATGTTCCCGTAGTTTTGTAGCCGTTGTTATTTGTCTTTCCAAGGCTCAAGTACAGACTGCTTTATTTTTAAAATTTATTTTTGAAATAACAAACATAGGGATCATTTGTTAATTATTTATTTTATTTTCATGTGCTTTACTATTGAAGTGGAATCAATATGATGTATAAGATAAAAATATTTCAATTAAATATTTTTTTTAACTGGCTTTAAAGAATATATTTAATTTCACTTTAGATTTTCATTTATTATAAATGGCATTGATAATTTAGGAGAATCTAACTGTAAACAATTTATTTATAATTACAGCTTATAAAATTAGCTAATGTATATTTTTAATTCTGATATTTTATGAATAATTCATAATTTATTATTATTATTATTTACGAGAATAATTACTACATTGTTATATATATATATATATATATATATATATATATATATATATATATATATATATATATATATATATATATATATATATATATATATATATATATATTGTTATTATAATAAGACTTATAGTATTACTAAATACCAAATTTTTCACACTTTTTTTATTTATCCACACATCTAACTTTTCCATAGTATTGTAGTAAATATATCGAACTAATGAAATTATTTTTGTAACAATATGATGCTAAAGAAGCATGTTAAAAATACAATTTTAAATTTTTTTTCTATTATAGGCTCATATGAAAAAATATATATTCATAGTATTGCACATAAAAAAAAAAAAAAACAGCCTTACAAAATTTTATAAGAAAAATTCTAATTTGTATTTCAAAATTATGATATGTTGGCATTTAATGGTATAATTACAATATATATATATATACATATTCATAGTGTTCCACTTCAAGAGAACAGCACTGTAGAATTTTATAGAAAATTCAGATAAAAATTTAAAAATCATAAAAAATACAATGGTGGTATTAAACTGTTTATAAAGTAGTAAATACTGTTAGCAATGTTATTTACAGGATGACAATGAGCTTATAATGGTTATTGTCTACTTTGTTGTTAATTACAAGTGTATTAAAAATAAAAATAAAATTAATTTAAATATGCAGATAAATAAGTTTATACAGGGTCCATCTATTGAACTATGTTCCGAAGGATCTATTTAATTTACTATTTATCGCTTTTTATATGAAAAAAAAACTAAACTCTTGAAATTAAACTAGATCTTTGATGGTAGATGATAAAGCTTTTATATTGCTAAGTTTTGTAATGCAACAGCTGCTGATGTTAAACAACGATAAAGGTTAATTTGCTTTTGTCTCTTCTAAAAAGTGATAATTTATAGTATAAATACTCATTTTTTTGTGTAGCAAAAGTGTTTTTAGAAGACAACACAGCAGAAGACAAAAAATAAAACAAAGATTGAGCGGATTCCACCACCAACCATGGTGCAAAGGTCACAACACAAGGAGGTAAGTAATATGAACTTAGCAAATAGTGACACAAACAGTGGCGTTGGCTCCTGGGAGCTGGTTATTGGTCGTAAAAGATCTATTTCAGATTCAAGCGAGCCAAGAGCACAAAAACGACCAGCAGAACCTATTCCAATCTCTAACAGTTTTGAGGTTCTAACCAAGATGAACTCGCAAAGTGAAGAAACAAGAGACAACCGCCTCAAAATGATAAAACTCCACCAATTTTTATAAACGGTGTTGAGAATTATCATGCTTTAATTTCATTCTTAGAAAACGAAGCTGGCCCTAATACATTCAAGACGAAATCAACATTAAAATAGGTCACTGTTTACCAACAAACACCTGATATATATCGCAAATTAAATTCAATCCTACGAAATAAAGGCGCGTTCTTTCACACCTACCAACTCCCACAGGACACTTGTCCAAGGGTTGTTGTTAAATATCTCCATCATAGAACACCAGTCGAGATAATCAGAGAAGAATTTAAAAATATGGGCTATGAAGTATCAAATGTGGTAAACGTGATATCTCGATTTAAAAAATCGTTTTCCTATGTTTTTCGTAGACGTTACAAAAGAGACGTTCAGAAAAGATATTTTTAAAATTGAGTTTTTATATTACTCTCACATTAAAATCAAGGAACCAAGTCAAATGCGAAGTATTCCTCAGTGTGTTCGGTGTCAGCAATATGGGCACACTAAAACATATTGCAATAAATCGACCACGCTGTGTGAAGTGCGGCGAATATCACGAAAGCAGTTCATGTTTAAAAACTAGAGAGACTCCCGCTAAGTGCGCCAATTGTAGTGGTCAGCACCCGGCTAACTACAGAGGCTGCTAGACGCTGAAATATCTCAGGGTGCAGCGCAATGCAAGAAACCGTCTTCAGCATCCCACAGTAGCAGAGCCACCTCAGAGACCTCCAGGCATTCATGAATTCCCTCCAATACGGCAGCGGTTCAACCAAGTGGAACCACAGATCATCACTGGACCTCAGCAACAACATAATCAACCATCATCGAACTCAGCACCCCAGAACCAAAAAACATGTACAGGTATGAGGGGAGGCATTGCCCAGACGGTAATAATAGCAATATCCTCAGGTAGATAATAGCTCTTCCCAATTATTTAATATAATTAATGGGTTAAATAACTTAATCCAGCCCCTTTTCATTCTTCTTCAACAGCTATCACAGTTTACACAGGTCTGGTGCTCTAATTATGTCCCGCAATAATTTAACTGTGGATTCTCTGTGAATTCTTTTGTGGAATGCCAACGGACTCTGACACAACACAGTACTGAACTTGACTTATACTTGCAAGGATCGACGTCGCACTCATTACTGAAAAACATCTGGCATCTCGATCAAAAATTTACATCCAGGATTACTCTATTTATAGAACTGATCACCCAGACAAAACTACACATGGAGGAACAGCGATACTCGTAAAAAATTCACTAAAACACAATCCCAAAGACTTACACATTACACCCGACATACAATCAAGAGGAATAACATTATACATTAAACGCTACACTATAACATTTGCCTCAGTTTGCTGTCCCTCTAGGTACAAGCTTACATCCACGATGTTTTCTGAGTTCTTCAAACGCCTCGGAAGATGCTTCTTCGCAGGTGGAGACTATAATGCTAAGCATCAAGCCTGGGGCTCAAGGTTGTCTACTCCAACAGGCAGAAATCTCTGGTTTGTTCTCCATGAACTTTCATTAGACACAATAACTCCAAATTCACCAACTTATTGGCCCCCCTCCAGACGCAAAACTCTTGACTTACTTGATTTCTTTATTAAAAAAGGACTTTATTACAAACAACCGTACCATTTGCCGTCATTACAAGCTCTGATCTTTGCTCTGATCACTCCTCGGTGCACAAGGTTCTCTTCGACGCGCCTTCTGAAGCACAAAAGAGACCTAATCTCATAACAGGTTGCATGGACTGGGACGCATATAGAGACCATTTGAATACCAATATTTGGTTCAATTAAAAATCAAGGGGAACTAGAAGAAGCATTTGAAACTTTTACAAAAAGTATACAAGATACAGCATGGTCCTCATCAACATCTAGGTCACAAAGAGCAGTGAACTTGCCCCATTATCCAATGTACATAAGGGACTTAATCAGGGCAAAGAGTAGAGTTCGAAAAGTGTGGCAGACTAATAGACTTCCTTCAGGCAGACAAACTTTTAACAGATTGAACAACGAACTTAAAAGACATATTCAAAAATTCAAAAGCACAAACTACGACAATTTTATTAACAACCTTTCGACGGACGATGGAAGTTTATGGAGACAACCAAGGAATCTTTTAAAGCATCGGGAGGTGTCAGCACCACGACGAAGAGAGGATGGTTCTTGGGGGACGAAGAAAGATCTGAACTCTTTGTTACTCATCTTTCCCCTGTTTTTAAATCACATACGGACTTCGTTAACCCAGAACATGATATTTTTGTACAGAATAACTTAGACATATCACTACAACTCACACTAACACCACCTCTTTTCACACCATCACAAGTTGCACAAGAAATTAGACAATTACCGAAAAGAAAAACTCCTGGTCATGACTTGATAAATGCTGAGGCGCTCCAGCAAATGCCAAGGAAAGCTCTAGTGTTTCTCACCACAATCTTCAATTGCTTTCTTAGGGCCATAAAATTTCCAATACAGTAGAAATACTCTCATGTAACCATGATTAAAAAGCCAGACAAAGAAACTAACAATCCTTCTTCATATAGAACGATTAGTTTGCTTCCAGTGTGTTCTAAATTATTTGAAAACTATTATACTCACGACTATTACATATACTAACAGACAAATAGATTATTCCTGACCATCAATATGGGTTTCGAAAATTAAATTCAACAACACAACAATTACACAGGGTAACTGACTACATATCTACAGCACTAGAGCGGAAACTATATGCAACCGGAGTATTTCTGGATGTCGCCCAAGCTTTCGACAAAGTATGGCGTCAGGGGCTTCTCTTCAAACTCAAGACCATACTTCCACCAACCTACTACTTAATTCTTCACTCCTTTCTCTCAGACAGATTTTTCTGTGCGACACGGTCTATCCTCAATTCGACCTATTTTAGCTGGTGTACCTCAGGGATCAATCTTAGCCCCAGTACTGTACATAACATACACAAATGACATCCCTTTAAGTATCCACACACTTACAGCAATCTACGCAGACGACACTGCTATCATTACGAGACACGATAATCCTACACAGGCATCACTTAACCTACAACATCAAAAGTCACAACACATCACATTTACTCTAAGACTAGAAACATGCCCTGCTGGATACTTAGACAACATACCGATTCCACAAACAGATAGAGTACAATACCTAAGCCTGACGTTTGACAGAAGAATGACATGGGGTCTACATTTAAAGAAAAAACATGCACCATTAAATCACAGATTAAAACTATTGCACTCATTATTAAGACGACATTCTAAATTAAAAACAAGACAGAAATTAAATATTTATACATACCTACTGAAACCTCTTTGGACTTACGGACTACAAATATATGTAATTGAAAAATCAACACACATAAAAGGACTTCAAACTTTTCAGTCTAAGATACTATATTCAGACTAATTATCCAAGCACCCTGGTACGTGAATAATAACAATTTACACACTGACTTACAAATACCAAACGATCAATGAAGACATACGAACTTACTACAAACGATTTCGTAATAAATTACATGGATACTCCGACTAGCTAATTAAAGAAATGGCCACTACTATTATGCCGGAGAACTCCAGAAGACAACTGAAAAGATTCTGGATGAGAGACCTACTTACGTCATTATATGTAAGTAAAAGCCATGGAAAGGATGCCGCTGGTTATTGCTTTTCCTCATGCCTATCAAGCCTTTTTATTTATTTATTTATTTTTTCATGACTGTGCCAGCACATCTGCTGATTGTCGATAGTTGTAATTGACAGGTGTGGATAAATAAATGTAAGTGCAAAATAAAAAATAAAAAAGTTTTGTAATTTTCAAGTAGGATACATATAATTTTAAAATTGATAAATGCTTGATTTAAAACCTATGTTGTAATATGAATTTGAAAAAATAAATGAATAAGAACAGAGATCTTTGACGATTTATTGAGCTGTAATATTTTTATCATGATTTAACAACCAATGTTACAGCTTAAAATTAAATTTTAGAGTTTTAGTTAAAAAAAAATATTTACAATTATGGTAATAAATTAAAATTTATTGTCATAATGGATTAGTTTAAATAATATTTTGTTTAACAGAGCCAGGATGAGTGGTGCCTTTTAATTACCTCTGATTAACGAACAGATTTATGTACTTATTGCATTTACCACTATAGCCCCAAACCACTTTATTAGTTAATTTAACATAAAACATAAATAGAGATTTTAGTAACTTACAGACAATATTAATTTTCTATTAGTCAGCAGTATATTCTCTTGTCTAAATCTTGGGAGGCGGTTTCTTTTAATTGTAACGTACAACTTTTTTAGCTACGAAAATTCATGGAAATTAGACATTTCTAATCTTAAAATCGGTAAACATGTCGATTTAATTAGGTACTTAAAACTCATGAGCACTCATTTTCTTTCTATTGGAATCGTAAGATAATTCGATCAAAAAATCAAGAAAAAAATGGCATATGAAATTATTGGGTCATTTCTCGTGACCTCGATCCAGCATGTCAGAATAATGAGGTTACTATAATTTGTCAAAACTAAACTAATTTTCAATTTATTGATCAATGCTGAAGAGATGAGTACAATCAAATGTTCATAGTGGGCTCAAAATTTCATGAGCCGTTTCTTCTGACCTACGCCCTAAACTTGTCAATGTTATGATGTGTACTTTACTGATTAACACTCGTATCTTTAACCATGGAGCGTAAAACACGTGAGGGCTACAATTTTTTTTTCTTTTCTTCATATTTCAATCCATACCTGTCATAAGCTTGACAATAACTGCTTATTGTGCTAATAAGAACTAATAAAAAAATTGGCATTTTAGATACGAGAAAAAAATCAACAGCATCTCTTACTGGTCTTAGTTTACTTCCTTAATTCAGCAAAGAAGATCTCTCATCCAGCTCCTCTTCAGTCGTCTTCTGATGGGCATGTCAGCTGCGGCCATGTCGTTAATAAGTCCGTTGTGATGTCCGTGTAGTTTAAGATGAAATCGAGAGTAGATATCACGTATGTGTTCATCGACAGTTGGTTGTCGCAAGTCGTTATGTATAGTTTTGTTCTTTAAGTACCAGAGAGTTCCTGTTATAAGTCGTTAAATTTTGGATTGAAATGTTTTTGTAAGTGCGTCTTTTATGCAGAACCATAAATTTGTGAAGCGTATGTCCAAATGGGTTTGAGAAGATAAGTGTGTGTATTTAGTTTTTGTCTGATTATAAATTTTGACCAAAAAAAAAAAGTGATTACAGTATTTTCAGACGCCTGTTCAGAGTCTTTTGTTTCATTTTGACAAATGGGCCCCAGGTCATCCTTCTGTCAAATATTAACTCAATATAACGAACAGTGTCCGTCTGAGGAATTTGGTTGTTGCCGATATAAACTGGTGAGTTTGTGTCTCGTCGAAGTGTAAATGCTATGATTTGTCATGATTAAATCTAATTTTCCAAAGTGAATGCCAATTTTGTAAATATAATAAGTTATTATGTAAATTCAGTAAGGCTATGATCGTGGTTTTTTGTTAAAATTGTATCGTCAGCGTAAGTAGCAGTCAATGTTTTGGAGGTGGTAGGCATATCATGCGTATAGATTAGGTAGAGTAAAGAAACCAATATTGATCCCTGAGGTACTCCTGCTGAAACTGGTCGAATTGAGGAAATTTATAAGCCCTCTCGGATAACTGTCGAATATCTGTCGAAGAGAAAATACTGAATAATGAGATAGTACCTATGAGGTAGAATAGTTTTGAATTTAAAGAGAAGTCCCTGGTGCCAGACTTGTGGGCAAGTCCCTGGAATGTCTGGGCAACATCCAGAAACACGCCGGTTGCATATGATTTTTACTCTAGTGCTCCAGCAATATAATCAGTAACTCTGTGTGATTGGTGTATAGTTGAATGAAATGTATGAAAGCCGAACTGATGGTCAGGAATTATGTTTTGGTCCATTAGTATGTTAACCAACCTTTTGTATATTAATTTTTCTAATACTTTGGAAAATATTGGAAAGAGTCTAATAGGTTGGTAGGATGTAGGAGTGAAAATGTCTTTGTCCCTTTTGTGTATCATTTTTATATGTGAATATTTCCATTGTAGTGGGAATTTAGTATTTCCTTAGCATACAGTTGTATATTATTGTAAGAAGTACTAGTGCTCTCCTGTGTATTTGCTGGAGTTCCTCGGCAGTTATTAAGTCATAACCTGGGGCTTTTCATTTAGGTAATTGTTTGATTTGTTGTGCAGTTAACGAAAGAGAGATTGGTGTCAACGGTAGTGGTAGTATATCTAGATTATTTAGTACTAAGACTTCATGTTATGTGTTCCTAAAGTCAGTAAATGGTGCTAATACAGATGATAGATGATCAGAAAATAGTTCAGATTTTTCCCTATCGGCCGTGAACCATTCTCTTTTTGCAGGGTAGGGGTACCTCTCGATATTTTCGATATAAAAATTATTTGCCACTCTTCGTTACACTCTACAAGTTTTTATATTAGATATTGATTTTTCTAAAATTCTCCGCTTCCCAACGATATGTTATACGTATAACTTCTGACTAGTATTTTCGGAGATTCATTTTCGATCTGGATAAGCATATTTATTTTTTTCTCCTTATTCATTCATTAAATTCTTCCAAAAATTATATTTAGCATTTTTTCATGACTTTTAATAATGAGAGACAGTTAATTATTTGAAATGAACCATATTAAAGGTACTTTAGAGGAAGACGGATATGAACATTGGGCATTTAAGCCCTTTAAAGTGCCATCAATGGGAATAAGACCTGATTGGTATTAGAGAGCACTTCAGTATACAATTATACACAGAGTTTAATCAGAATCGTTTAAGCCGTTTTTGAGAAAATTGTGTTTCAGCGTTGATATAAAGTGACACTTCCGGTTAGCCGATTTTAAGGAAAAAGTTGCTGTCACATCTAAGGCATATACCTATATTAAATACGTAATATCAGTTTCGTATGACATCTCATTTTTGCCCTAGACTGCTAACAAACACACACATAGACACACAGACCATTTTTCGGGACTTGGTTATTTGGACTCAGGGTACCCCAAAAACGTGTATTTCCGTTGAAAACTCTTTCGTTATTGCAATACTTACATTTACTATATATTACATATATACCTAAGTGAAAGTAAAAATCGAAATAAATTATTTAATTAACATGGATGGAATGTTTAGATTGGCATTTATTCAACTTAAGAGGTATATTACATCTATTAATTTATGTAGAAGTCTGACACCTGTTATTGAATCTATATGAATTTTCTGGTATTTCTTTTTACTGAGAGTAGAAATTTTAAAAAGTTTATCCCTTTAATTTCTTTTTTGGGCTTGAATGTGAAAAAAAAAACGGCTTGAAATTCTCAGACCACTGTCTGTTTGATTGTACTGATCTTTATAAAATAACAGCCTGAATATCAGCATGATGTGCATACTTTTTTATAACCTCCATGTTTTGATATGTTATGGGTAGATGTCAAACAACCCAATAATTTCTTAGGCCACTTTTTTCCTGTGATCGAATATAAAAGAAGTGGAAAGAAAATGGTTGTTCAAGAGTTTTAGTACCTCGTGGAATAGAATGCTAACCCATCTCCAAATCGAAAAAAGCCTCATTTCTGAGAACTTTCTTAATAAGTATGTGTTAGGTTAAGTTAAAATGAAGGCATTCACGCAGTCTTAGATGGGTGTTAATAATTTGACAAAAAAGGGTCAGTATCATGAACTATATTCTAGTCTAGGTGGTACTATCCATAAAGATAATTTTTTTTTTTTCATTTAGTCTGGAAGACAACACAAATATGGTTATTAACATGCTAAAAAGAAATGTTTGCTACTTTTGTTAAATGATGTATTCTGGATAAAAAAAAAAACCTTTTAGGCGCCTGTCAATGAAGAGTTTAAAATCTTAACTATTATATTCTAATTTTACTTGAAAGATACTTTACACAAATAAACAAAACTATTAGTTACAAAAATATACAATATACACTAGGGTTATTTCTTTAGGTCATGATTAATAATATACCTCTAACATATCTATTAATATTTATGAGGCATGCTTAATGTTTTATAAAGTTACCTGTCATAGCCACCCCTATAGGCACTGCCATAACCGGTTCCATATCCAGATCCGTAACCGCTTCCATAACCGCTTCCATAGGAACCGCTGCCGTAGTAATCACTATTCTGGTAGTAAGGGTCATAGGGTTCGTACCTGTTACAGCAATTTAAACTTAGAAAATAAAAATTAATTAAAATTTGAAATTTAATTTAATTGAAAAGAAATTTTTACTTCTGTTACTATAAATTTTTTTTTCAAGTTAATAAGCTAGAATGATGGAACGGCTCGGTAATAATCGTCATTTAAGGTACTGATATGTTGTATGACATCACATCTCACATGCATCGTTCTCATACCCAGTGTCAGTTGCAGATGGAGTTAACTTTTTACTTTCACTTACATATATATATATATATATATATATATATATATATATATATATATATATATAATATATAGTATTGGTAAGTATTCTGATCGTAAAAATTTTTGAGTCCGAGTTTTCAACGGAAATACTCGTTTTGAGATACCCTGAGTTCAAATAACAAAGTCCGAAAAATGGTCTGTGTGTCTGTGTGTATATGAACACTCTAGCTCGAAAACGTAAATTCGTACGAAACTGATATCACGTATTTAAGGTAGGTGTATGCCTTAGAGGTCCCTACAACTTTTTCCTTAAAATCGGCTAACCGGAAGTGTCACTTTATATCAACGCTGAAGCACATTTTTCTCAAAAATGGGTCTAACGATTTCGATTAAACTCGGTGTATCATTGTATAATTAATTGGTCTTTAATATCATTATATAAGGTCTTATCCCCGTTTATGTCACTTTACAGGGCTTAAATGCACAATGTTCTTATACGTCATCCTCTAAAGTACCTTTAATATTGTTCATTTCAAATAATTAACTATCTCTCATTATTAAAAGTTACGAAAAAATGCTAAATATAACTTTTGGAAGAATTTAATGATTGAATAAGAAGAAAAAAATAAATATGCTTATCCTGGTCCAAAATGAATCTCCGGAAACACTAGTTATATATTTGCATGTTTTTAAAAATAAAGGATAAAAATTTTCTCGATCGCAATACTTACACTTACTATATATTACATATATACGTAAGTGAAAGTAAAAATATTTAAAAATCGCGATATCTCTACTAATAGTGCTTCGATTTCGATGAAACTTCTTTTGTTTTTTAGGCAATTTAAATACCTTTGAAACACCTTATCACAACATTCCCAAAAAAGTATATACTTTTTGAGTTATTCGGAATTTAATTTTACCATCCCTCGTAACTTTTTTTCAGCTTCTTTTCGCTGATGAATGTTATATAGATAAATTTGAAGGGTGTCGAGAAAATGACTTTAGCGAAGTTTCAATGAAATCGGTACATTCGTTTAGGCGCTACAGTCTATAGCTACGTTTTTATGCATTTTTATTTATTTTTTCTCCTTTATTAACTTATCAAATTCTTTCAAAAGTTATGTTTAGCATTTTTTCGTAACTCTGAATAATGCGAAATAATTATCTTTTTAAAATAAACCATATTAAATGTACTTTAGAGGAAGACGTATATGAACATTGGGCATTTAAACCCTGTAAAGTGACATCAATGAGGATAAGACCTAATTTATATTAAAGACCACTTAATTATACAATACACCGAGTTTAATCAAAATCGTTAGAGCCGTTTTTGAGAAAACTGTGAAAATGTGTTTCAGCGTTGATATAAAGTGGCACTTAGCCGATTTTAAGGAAAAAGTTGCCGTCACAACTAAGGCATATAATAATAAGGCTTAGCGAACCCGAAGGTTCGATGCCGACACCACCAATCGCTTGTTACACACCTCCCTCCACCGTTCGCCGTCCAAACCCAGTTCCTTCAGATCAGCTTTAATGCAATCTTCCCACCTTCGCTTCGGTCTACCCCTCGGACGCTTACCATTCGGCACAGCAAATATTAACCTTTTAGGAATTCTCTCGTTACTAAGCCCAGCAACTTTACAAGCCCATTTGATTCGCCGCGATGAAATTACCTCGATTATATTACCCGGATACAGCTCACGCAATTCGGCGTTGTGTAACCGTCTGAACTCTCCGGTTAACTCATCCTTCTTCGGTCCGAATATTCTACGCAATACTTTATTTTCAAAAACCTTAAGACGATGCTCATCCCTTAATGTAAGCGGCCAAGTTTCGCATCCATAAAAAACTGTAGGCAAGATAATTGTTTTATAGATTCTAATTTTTAAGTTTCGGGACAAGAGGCGCGAACTGAGTAGTTTTGACACAGAAAAATAACAAGCATTCCCCGCCTTCAGTCTAACCTTAATCTCCTCTTCAATTTCGTTCTTTCTAGTTATCGTAGAACCTAGATACCTAAATTTATCTACCTGTTCAAACATATTACCATCTATATCGATATCACCAGTAGTATCGCCATTTTTGCAGCTAACCATATATTTTGTTTTATCCACGTTTATTTCGAGTCCTAGTTCTTTACCGGCTTTCATTAACGTTGTCGTATTTAGTTTTATAGTTACAACGTCTTCGCTTAACAGTACCAGATCATCAGCATAGCCCAGCACGGATGTTGTCCTGCCCAGATCAAACCCTTTCTCGGTTCGCATTACCTCCCTAATGGCATGTTCTAATGCCAAATTGAAGAGGACAGGCGAAAGAGAATCCCCCTGTTTTAAGCCCGAACGAACCTCAAATTTTTCGGACAAATTATTACCGATTCTAACTTTATTGATTGTCTCCGTCAAGCACATCCTGACTAGATTTACTAGTTTTTTTGGAATCCCCTGCTCGATTAGAATATTATACAGTTTCTGGCGGTCAATAGAATCGTAAGCCTTTTTAAAATCTATATACAGCTGGTGAACAATACCGTTATACTCCAATTTTTTCTCTAATATTTGCCGTAAAGAAAATATTTGATCAATAGTCGAACGATTCCGTCTAAATCCACATTGGTAGTCTCCGATAATTTCCTCGGCGTTTTCCGTGATTCGACTGGTTAAGATTAAAGTGAATATTTTATAACATACCGGAAGGAGTGAAATTCCTCGATTGTTATTACAATCCGTCCTCGGACCCTTTTTGTGAATCGGAATAAGAATAGATTCTTTCCATTCTTCAGGTAATTTCTCGTTCACCCAGATATTTTTAACCAACTGATGTATTTTAGAAACTCCAGCTTCCCCGCATGCCTTAATTAGTTCAGTAGGAATATTATCGGTTCCTGCTGCTTTATAAGATTTTAATTTTCCGATAGCTAATTCAACTTCCTCTTTACTCGGTCCTTCTATCAACGGTTCAGCACTCTGGTACTCAGAAGGAGGACACAGATCATAATTTCCCGTATTTAAAATATTGTCAAAGTGGTCCTTAAACTCATTCAATATGTCAACCGGATCGGTCAGAATATTGTTATTACCATCCCTAATTCCAGACGTTACGGGCCCTACATATTTATGTGATCTGTTTATACCTTTGTACATGTCTCTTACTTTATTTTCGATTCTATTAGTTTCTATTTCAATTATTTTATTTTTAAGATGCTCCCTTTTTTTATTTTTGAGCAATTTTGTCGTTTCGTTCTTTGAGATTCGGAAGTATTCCAGATTGTCTTCGCTAGGATTATTTAGAGCTTTTAATTTAGCGGCTTTTCTTTTTTCACACATGTTTAAGCAATCTTCATCAAACCACGGTTTGTTATTCTTATTTTCCTTTTTTCCTAGACACGAGTTACCGACCGCTTTAATATTATCCCTGATCTCTACCCATAACTTGTCAATATCCTCGTGGTCCTCGTCAGGAAGCTCTAAAGCTTCAAACCTATTCTTAACATCTAGCTCGAATTGGGTTCTAATGGATGGATTTTTTAATTTTTCCAAATTAAAATTCTCAAAATCGAACCGGTTTTCTTTTCTCTTTTTTATATTAAGTTTTTGTCGAAGTTTCGCGATTACCAATTCATGATCCGACCCACATTCTGCTCCGCGATAAGACCGTACATTGATTATATTGCTTTGCCAGCTGTGTTTTATCAAGACATGATCGATTTGATTTCGTGTTTGCGAATCCGGTGATGTCCAAGTATATTTATGAATATCCTTATGTTTAAACGTCGTACTTTTAATTATCAGGTTTTTCGAGATGGTAAAGTTTATCGGACGGATCCCATTATCATTACTATATTCGTGCAAACTTTCTTTACCAATCGTCGGAATATAAACTTCTTCCCTTCCTACCCTTGCGTTCGCGTCACCTACAATCATTTTCATGTAGTTTCGCGGTAGTTTATCATAAACCCATTCGAGTTTATCGTAAAATTCACTTTTGACTTCATCGTCACTGTCTTCGGTCGGACAATGTATGTTTATTAATGCGATTTTAAACCAACGTCCCTGAAATATAGTTACCGAAATTCTATCACTAAAGAATTGTACGTCCCTCAAAGCGGATAGTAATCTACTTCTAATTAGAAACCCGGTACCTAAACAATGATTCCCGCTTCCTCCGTACCAAATAGTTTACTTCCCTTCCCTCATCGAGCCCTCACATCCAAATTGTACCCATTCATTTCATTCGCGACCGATTTTAGCCCCCCTGCTGTGTTTAAACTCCTTACGTTCCACGTACCAATATTTAAATCCCTATATTTCAACTTGCGCCATGAATCCCCTAAAGCAGTCCCCACCCGGATACCCGAACGGGGGACTAGTTTACCTCCGGATAATGAGCGTTTTACCTTCTGGAGATCCATGACTTTTTGTGGTGTTTGGTGAACTAAAGATATGTGAGTAATCCTACGTCACACCCTCCAGCAAGTCTGGTGGTCCCCTCCCTCCAGCAAGTCTGGAGGGTCCCTCTCATTGTTGGTCAGCGAGTCCATCGGACTTAGTACAACAGGCTTGAAGCTGGTGACCATCAGTTTCTTCAACACCTTACTCATGACAAGGAAGAGACAGATAGGCCTATAAGACTTAGCCATTTGTTTCTTCTTATACTAAGATTCTTACATTTTTTATTAATAATTGTTTAATATATGTGGAATATCTACTTATCTGGATCTACTTTATAAATAGATCTACTTTATAAATAGATCTACTTTATAAATTTTTTTAGATTTTGAATAATTAACCTTGTACTTCGTAAGTTGAAATGAATGAGGGTATATTTCTTTTTATTTTCTTGTATGAGATATGACTGAGATGCAAATTCCAAGTTTTTGACCTCGGAGTCCCTCCCTCCACCTCACGGATCAATTTTGAATATTCCACAAACTGCTACATTTTCCCACTTTATTTCGGTTTTCTTCCATTTTATCCAAGTAGAAGCACGTTTTCGACAAAAAAAACAACAAAACACTCCATATATTTTTAAACTAGATTAAATATCTTACAATTCAACACCAGAAAATGCTCATTAAATCAAATAGTTTACGAGAAACAGATTTTCCATTTAAATTATTTTTCAAGCTTGATCATATGCAATTGTCTTTTATCTTTAATAACCTGTCTGATATGAGTCAGTGAAGTAAATATTTATTCATTTTAATATTTTGAAGGATGGGTGGGAAAGATTCGGTGGAAGAGTGTAGTCCGTGGGCCAGACACCTCCCTCCACATCACTATAAATTGCAAATCGTTGTTTATCTTGTAATTATATATTAAAAAAAAGCCAATTTAAAAAAAAAAAGTGACCTCACCCTCCCAAAATGGCGTCTAAACATGGCTGAGTGACGACTTTGACTTGAATTAGTTTTTTGGTCACTGAGATTCAGCAGTTGGCCTAATTTCGTCGTAATTGTTTTTGTTTTTTTTAATCAAAAGTTGGTAGTCAGGGTATAATAAAATATAAACAAAAATAATTGGCCTTAGCAATAAAAAATACTAGTAAATTCAATTTATTCAACTCGTTGAAAATCAAGCATCATTTGTAATTGAACGGTCAACAATAACGAAAAACACCTTTTAAATTAAATATATTGAGAATACCTTTATCATTCTAAATCATTGATTAATGTTTAAATAATTTGAAACATTTCTTTAGAAAATGTGATCTCCCCCTCTCCCACCAAACCTCCCCTCCTCTCTTACCCCTTCTTTAAAATGTTGAAATGAATAAAAAAATACTTCACTGAATCATATAAGACAGATTATTGAAGATATGAAGATAAGTGCATATGATCAAACAGGATAGCTTAAATTTTCAAGTTCAACAAATTCTTAAAACATTGTTTATCTGTACCACAAAAATTATTAAACTGACCGAACCAGTTTTGGTCTTACATCGTTGCTTATTTGATATAGTTTAAAACTGTATAGAACGCTCTTTGTCTAAAACGTGCTCCTTCATGGTCAAAATGGGGAAAACCGAAAAAAGTGCGATGCAACTTAGACCCCCTTTTTATGACATAGTTACTGGGTTATATTTGTGAGCGGTGAGATCTTTACTTCTGTTCAGAGCTAATTAAAGAGATATCCATCTTTTTCACCAGCTATCAGGAGTAAGCTATTAGTTATCAAATTTTCAAGAAGGATATATAAATGCAACATCCACTGTGAAATTTTTTTATTGTTGATTTATTTATTTTCTTGTGAAATTAAAATTTTATTAGGATCTTATTTTGTTGTTAATACATATACAAGCCTTCATTTCATTTCATTCGGAGTAGAATTATTTAGTTCTATTTGTCAAAGACGTTAGGATTGATAAAAAGTCGCAATAGAAATTATATTAAATAAGGAACAAACCATTAAATAATGAACAAAATTTACCAAGGCTATAACTTTAGGAAATGGAGATTAAATAAAATGGAATTGAACTGAATAAATATGGATTTACTCCGTCTTAAAAATTATTAATATTTTTTTGGGGAGAGAGAGGTAAGATTTTATTTTTTCATGTGACTGAGTTTATGGTTAAATTGAACGTGGAAATTATTACACACAAATTCTGATGTTTTATTTTGCTTCTTATAAAGGAACGCAATACGAGGTGGTTTGGTGTTAGGCAATCTCATTGTATCGTTTTGGAACACCGCGACTGATATAGTGAAACACAAAGGGATTAACGAGGCCGTGTCAAGAACAAATCAAAAAGTATTATTGTTCCTGTATTTTTTTTCTTTACCTTTAAGGATCACTTTAAGAATAGTACATATAGAAATATTTAAAAATTATGAAAAACGCTCTCACCCAAAATTAAATGTAGATCCCCTGCTGAGGTAGAATTGAATGTAATACAACTAGATTATCAAATTGGCGCGGATAGAAATGTATCGACATATTGCGTTCTGTGTCCACTAGTCTTAAGAAGTGATCCCTATTTCTTAAAACTAGAAAATGGCGTAAATTTATATTGGAAACATTTCATTTTTCAAAATATTACATGTTGTTTCCTTACCTGCCTCTGTCGTTTCCTGAGTAACCGCCGTTTCCTGAGTAACCGCCGTATCCTGAGTAACCACCGTACCCCCCTCCGTATCCTCCGCCGTACCTGTTGTTGTAGGGATCCTGCCTGCTGTAATAGCCATCAGGCCTGTATCCGTAGCCTCGGTCGTATCTGTTGTCGTAATAGCCTCTGTTATCACCGTAGCCGCGATCATAATAGCCCCTGTAGTCCCCATAACCTCTGTCGTAGTAGCCGTCCGGTCTGTATCCGTAACCTCGGTCGTAGTTACTGTAGCCTTTGTCGTAGTAGTTGTTTTGGTAGGGGTACCTGTTGTCGTAGGAGCTGGTGAATACTGCAATGCATAATTAATCAGTATTCATAATTAAAACATTACAATAATTTCATGTATAGAATTGTTAAATATCATTTTATACAGAAAAAGACTAGATGGACTTCCTATATAAAATCAATTTCAATCCACCAATACGTATATATAAAACATTATATATGTAATAAAGTGCTATAACAACTAAATCATTCTGTGACCAGCCCTACAGTATCTTTGTTTATGATTATATACGAGACGTATGATGATAAATTATTTCTATGACCTTCTAAGATTTTACTTACCATATATAACTAACACTTTCTTGGAAAAAATACGTTTCCAAAATCTCCAAACGTTTCTTTTTTGCCTCAAAGCGTCTAGTAGTGTTGCCCAAAATTGGTCTTAGTCTTGCAGTCTTGGTCTTGGTCCTGCACTTTTGCAAGACCAATACCACAAAAATTGTTGCAAGACCAAGACTCCAGACCCTCCAGAAGTTTTCTGCAAGACCTGCAAGAGTCTTACATTGTTTTATCCCTTGGAATTGTATAGCTTTATTTGATTTTTAGCTTTATTATATTTGAGTGTAGCTTTCCAAATAATAATAAAAATTAATCTTTTTTTTTTTTGTTCTCCCTCTGCCTCGCCTTTTAGGAGATAGGGGGTTTTCGAAGGGCAAGGGGCGCGGACGGGAGATTAATGCTAGAGTTAAAAAACCCCTCCCACCCTACGGGTAGCGGGATGCGAACTCATATTTATTTTATTTTCTCTAACTTTGGTTATCAGGTTGCCGGGCAAGTGCTGTGCACACTCGTGTGGGTGTCCTAAAAATTAATCATTTGCCAGAACCAGAACAAGAAATGAAAAGAAAACAAAAAACTATGAATACAAATTAAGACTAATGGTTACTAATACTAGCCCATTTCAGTTACTATAATGAAACTTCGGACTCTCACGTGGAATCAAAAACTGACCGCTATAAAGAGATGTCCGTTTTATAAAAATTGGACGAAAAATATGTTAAAAAATAACAATTAGATAACTTTTTTTTAGTCTCTTCATTTAAGAAAACTTAAATTGTATTTTAAAATTTATATCGTGAAAATAAAATGCTGGAGGGTTAAGGTACAAGCCTGGCGAAATAATCCATGTTACTGCAACAACGCCATAACTCAAAAGAGGTTATTTCTTGGTATTGGCATTTCTGTGTTTGGCCCGCTGTTCACTGTATTTGTTATGACTTTATAATACTGATGTCTAACCACAAGTTTTAATCGAGTGGCTAAATTGCGAATAGTGAACTTTCTGATACACTCATTAATTACTCAAAATTTTCTTTGAAATTTAACCGAAACCACGTTGACATATTACAATCAAAGCTGTGTAAATCACAACAAAGGGTTAATACTCTAAATTCTATTTCAAAAAAGGATTTCGAGCGATTTTAGGCGAGTGTTACCCATCGGAAATCTGACAGATCAATCCAATTTACTCTTCACAAAAAAGTTCAAATTAGTTTTGTTCTGATTGAAGAAAAGTATTGGTCACGTTAATTCTGAACAAACAAAAAGTTGAATTTTCCATATGAATTTATTGTTCCATCCATTTTACGAGTGTTACATTTGTGCTAAAGGTGACATTTTGTAGTCTGCAACCGATACGATGGAAAAGAGCAGAGGACATTTAAATATTTAATTATACTAATAAATCATAAAGAAACGATTAGTTTTTTCTGATCTCCAGTAAAACACTCAATTTGTACATACGACCTTTTGCACTAACATTGTGATTTTAGTAGCATACGAAACATTTTAAACCTGTTAATATTGATATAGTTTAGCCAATAAAAACGGTGAGGAAGCTATACCGACCTTACTTGGCAGATTTTTTTTTAGATGTATAATAACAACGAATAATCAGGTTGATAACAACAATATTGCCGGAAGCTGTTCCTGGTCCGTGACCACCTGACTTGACGATATTCGGTATAACTTCCTTCCCTGCCAGGAATGATTGTCAACTGTTTCCGTTGGTCTGTAATTTTGTTATCTCGTTATTCTGTAATTTTGATATCTCGTTGGCCATCTTCCTCCTATCCCTGAATCAGGTCTATTCACTATCGAGGATGGCCTTAATAACATTTTAAATTTGCTTTATATATCAAACCTAAAAAAAAAAATATTACTTCTATTAATAATATTGAACGTTGAATGAGATAGTCTTTGTCAATGAAATAACTTTTACCTAGCTTGCGTTCCCTCTAAGGTTATTTACCGATTCGTTAAAGAATGCATGCTGAAATGGTAAGGTCACGGAACTATCGTCTGACAAGACGGTTTGGAACATTATAGAGTGTAAATATTGAGTAACTTTTGGTAAAAGGAAGAGTGTTTTTCTAGATGTCTTTTATGAAATTTTAATTTTAATTATCCATTTGGGTCCAAATATTTAACGTACGGGTTACCAATGTTTTTGTGACAATAAGAATTATATGAGTATCTTGCCTATAATTTGAATGTATATAGCTATGGTACAGTAAATGTTGAATTGGTAGGAATTGGCCCGCAGTTTTCTGCCGTTTCAGGATTAATTGATGACTTCAGGATTAAAACAGGGTTGCCGATGCGACCTTACAAAAAATTGTATTGCACTTCTCTTTTTAAAAATTGTGCAAGTGAAAGTAGAATTATAAAAGTTTTATTTATAGTAATTTACACATCATTTGCTCTATGTTTTCCCACAATATCAAAGTTTGAAACTTTTGAACAAATTGAAATCTTATTAAAATACGGTCACTTCCAAAAATCCACGTTCCCGTAAAAATGTGACTTACTCAAAAATTTTGATAATGCAACTTGCGTCACGCCACCCTCTAATTCGACCTCCTGACACCTTGCCTAGATGAAGTTCTGAGGAGTGAATCTGTTGTCCACGGTAAGCTGAATGATATTTCGAATGATACTTTACCACTAGATCTGATCGGTTTACGACGAAGAAAAATTAATATAAAAATAAAATAAATTTACATGGAGGAGTTTTAGACTTTCAGGTTTGATTCTAAGTTCATTGACTCCAAACCAGAGCAATAATCGATAATATTTTATCCATGGTATATGTATATGGATAATATAATAAATAATATTGAGCCTGTTATCCAGTAGAAAATTATTAACATGAACAAATATTTCTCTTTTATATTTGTTTTCAAGAACCAGAGGAAACCTTTTATATATAGTTAATATATAGTAAGAGAAATTATTGCGATCTTGAACATTTTAGAATCTGATTTTTCAACAGAAATACGTTTTGAGGTCCTGTGATTCCAGATAACTAAGTACCGCAAATGGTCTGTGCGTCTATGTGTATGTTATCATTCAAGCTCAAAAACGAAAAGTCGTAAGAACGTGAATTGCATATATAACGTTGGATATGCCTGGAATCGGCTTTCCGGAAGTGGCACATCATATAATCGAATTTTGACACATCTTTTTAAATGATTTTGATTGAACTCTGTTTATCATTGTATAATTAAAGGATCTTTAATATAACTTAGGTATTATCCCCATCGATGTCACTTTACGGGACTTAAATGTCCAATGTTCAACATGTCTTCCTCTAAAGTACCTTTAATTTGGTCCATTTTAAATAATTATTCATCTCACATTATTTAGAGTTATGAAAGAAATGCGAAATATAATTTTTGAAACAATTTGATAATTGAATAAAGGAGAATAATAAAATTAAAATGCTTATCCAGGTCGAAAATGAATCTCCAGAAATAATAGTCCAAAGGTAAGGTATAATATATCGTAGGAAAGCGGATAATTTTAGCTAAAACAATATCTAATATAGAAATTCGTAGAAAATGATGGTTACTGAAGAAAAATTACAAATAATAATTAATTATAAATAATTATTTACTAACAAAATGTAAACTTTTTCTGTAAAAAATTTTTTTATTAGGAAATTCAAATTCCATCTAATCATGTTTATAAAACTACTTCATATACTTGTTTGAAAGAAGTGAAATATAAAAATATTTCATGGATTTATAAAGCAAATGTTTATAACCTTAAACACACTTACTGTAGTTTAATAATTATACAATTCTAGCACATGGATTCATATATGTATTTAAGCAAACAAAAAATGAAATAAAACAAAAAAGATGAAGGAAAATGTTAAATAAAACCAAAATGGAGAAGCGGTTTCCAAAACGCTTCCTTTCAGAATCCATAACAATAAAGCGAGTTGAAAAGATGTCCTTATCACTCCTTAATAAGTTATTGTTGTGCTATCAAAGCAAACCTTGGCTTCTCGAAATAATAACGAAGAAGAAGGAAATTTATGTATTGGAACAGTCATTTATTTTACTTTTAGTTAAATCATATAAAATATAGTTATTTCAACAAATAAATTAAAAAATCTGGCGAGCGCAACATAAAACTTTCACTAACCGCTCTACTTTGAACATAAATTATTTTCTGTCAATGTTGGGCTATTATAAAATTTTTGAAGTGCATTTTCAACGTAGCTAAATCTTAAAGCTTACATATAATTACGACCATTAAAATACAAATAATTAAGACCATTTAAATTACAAATACTCTATTTATTATATCGGCGGTAGGAAATAAAAATCTAGTTACTCCATCAGCTTTTATAAAGCACACAATCGGTCTCTGAGCCTTTCAATTGACAGAATGACTAACTCCAATTCCATCATTTTTGAGTAATTTCATTTTTGTGATATTTCTAGTTTGAAAAGTTATATCTATACATACAGCAGCGAGTAAGTTGATTCCAATAGGTAATATCAGTTTCGTACCAATTTTCGTTTTTGAGCTGGACTGTTAACACACACACACGTATACACACTCACACAAACACACACATACGTACACTCATGGTTATTTGGACTAGGGTTATTTGGGTAGGGATGGGTCGTTACAGATTTTTAGTGTACCTGTTCCAATCCGTTCCATTCCCCAAACGGAACTGTTCCAAATTATCGATACCGTTCCAAA